ATTATCAAATACACATGCATGCTCATCTGTACGCGAGATTATAATGTACAGGGGGTTGCTTTTTTCCTCTCTCTTCCATCAAGCTATCCAATTGCATTTTGATTGTTTTAAGGGGTGGTTCTTCAGACCTTAGGCATAAAGCCTCCTCTGTTTTATTCCAGTTTATTTGTGCATTTACCTCCCTAAAACTTGTTTGGTTTACTACCATACTAAATGCTGTATGTGTTGCTTTCAGCCAGGTAAGCCTTATGTTTCAATTATGGAGGAGTTTATTCAGCACCTGTATTGCGTTGTGCTTCTTTTCAACTAAATTTCCATTTCCCAAAGGCTGTATGCATGAATGTGTATACATCTCTCATTTCTGTATGTATATACACACACAAATCTATACATTTATACATATACACAAATATATCATCTTAACTGAATGCTCATTTTCATTGCACCTTTGAATTTCTGAGATATCCAAAACCTTCATAAACATCCTTAAACTTAACAAGGTTTTAATTTTTTTATCATTTATCTTTGTAATCAAACAGAACAGAATACAGTGAATGGAAGCCTTGTTTCCCTACCCCGGAGGTATCTTAAATTTCAAAATCATTTATACTTTTGAGAAGATAAAGCAGCAAAAGAACTAAACTATGGTTTTCCTACGGCATTTTTTCTAGCTGCATTGAATGCTTATCGAGTGAGGTTTGGGTCAGGTAGGAACACCATCCTAACCATGGGACTGCAGCGGCGGAATTCCATGAGGTTTTGGGGATTTTGCACTTTTTTACCCCCTAAATAAAGGTTGAAAGAATGTTGTAGCTCTCAGGTCTATGGAAGACTCTTGCTTTCCCCCTGCACACTATCTCCACTCTTTAAGAGCACTCACCCGCATGTATTTCAGTAAATCTCAGTTAAGTGTGGAATGTTGATTTCTTCTGACTTCCTAAATAAAATATTATGGAGACCTGTGTGTTTTAAATTAAAACACAATCCAGGACTTGGGTACAAGCAAGCTTTGACAGAAAAGGCTGTTTAAACCTATGGGGACAATCCTATATTTAGATTACATTAATTCATAAATATTATACTAAATACCACTTAAATTGGCCTTAAATGACTTCAAAGATAATGCATTATAATATGGCTGTCCTGAGAGCACTAACCTTTATGTCTCCCAGTAACTCAGCCTTTAAGCATAGTCAACTGCTAGATAAGAAGGGGGGAAGTTATGAATGAATGGCTTGCTAAATTGTTCAAGTGTGATTAGTTAACTCTGTGCGTGTGTGTGTGTGTGTATGTGTGAGCGCGTGGGTGGGTCAGCTCAGCCCCGGTAGATTTCTACCCACGGATCTCAGCACATAGCCTCTTCCCAACCCTAGAGCAAAGTACCACAGCAGGAGCCTATTCCTGCCCCATGTGGAGAGAAGTGAGGATGGGGGAAATATGCAGCAGCTATGCTCGTGCCATGAAAGCTTGTTTCTGGGACTTCACAAAGCCTCTCCTGCCTTCCCTCACAGGCTGCTTCCCCCGTACCCTTTTCTTTCTTCGTGTGTCTGCAAAAGAATCGTGCTCCCCTGCCTCTTCCCTGGTATCTGGCCTGGTATCAGCTGGGGCTGCTGGTAAGAGAACCTGGGACGTCGCTCTCCTTTTGCGATAGTTTCTTTGGGAGGGGGGCATAGTCATATACTTTATCTTCAGGTTCTTAATTTTCAATTTCCTCCGGCTATACAGGAGCACCACAATAGGCTCTCTTCATAATGTTTTCAAGAATACACATCCTGTGCTCTCATTTCAATAGATTTACACCTGAAATTACTCTGGTTGCTGTGTTTTTACTTTAAGCTAATTCCTGTCTCTTCCCTCCTCCCAACACAAACCCACCTTCTCCCCCTCTACACCCAAGATTCGCTCTCCGTACACTTAAATAAACTACAGCCCACTATTAACCCTTCAGGGTATACCACTGCCACAGCCTCGTCCCCTGGATTAGTAATGAAATCAACTGAGAGTGATGGATCAATTAATGTGTAAGCATTATGCATCACTCATGGAAAGCATCTTGGGGTTTCATATTGCCATCCTACCCCTGAGAGCCAAGTTAGGCTATCTTTATGCAATTCTTCACCTATGCCTGCAAAGCAAAGCCAAAATAAGGAGATCTGAGTGAATACTATGCTTCACATGACTGCATTTAGAGAAGGGAAAAGAAAAAAAAAACATTAAAAATGAAATAAAATGAAATAAAATAATAAAAAAAAAAAGGCTAAACACAATCCTCATCCTTCAAAGCCCCATCATGCTTTTTGACTTAATAGTAATTAATCACTACTGGCAAGAAAGTAATTTTTTTCCAGGTAGCCAGAGGCACATTTTTATCAGGATTAGCTAATAAATCAGCGGCATCGCTAGAAAGGAGTTCAAACTCTTCTCGGATGTACTAAATAAAACCGATCTCTGAAACGGTGGCAACTCGGTATCTATTGAAGCTTCACTCAAATACTAGGCTGCGAAATAACAATCATCATCATCATTTTTCCTTCCAAAGTCCAAAACTTCTAGCAGGTTAAAAATGACTGTTTCTTTCAAGATGAACTCATGCAATTTGGTTTGATGAGGTGACAAGATTTCCCACCTGGCTTTTTTCCTAGGTTGCAACTTTAGAATAGAAATGAAATGAAGGGAAATGAAGTTAGTATCTTGCTTAATTCAGGAATATGTGTTAAACACATCCAAGCAAGATAAATGATCGCTCGCTCGCTCTCTCCCTCCCTCCCTCCCTTTCTGAGTTTGTCTCTGTGAATACAGGCATGCAGTAAAAGAAAAACTGAACTGAAAGGGGAAGAATTCACATTTATGAAATAGAAATCAAAGTTAGCGCATAGATTCATTAATTACAGGTTTAACATAGAACATAACAAAAGAATAAAATCTCATCAACAAATCAAAATAACCTCTCTCCACCACAAAAATGCTTTACCGAGGTGTTAGCTCAAAGATTTCCTCTACACTATATTGAATGATTCTCTTCGGTGCAGCTTTTACTGTTGTTATTTTTATTTTACAGAAACCTCAGACAATTTTTGCAAACACGCGTGTGCACACACGAGCTCAGTGGCTACTCTTACTATGCTTCATCTACTAGATGAAACCTCCCAGGACCTTTCCTTGCCTCTGCTTCTTACAAATTTTTTTATTATTATTAATAATTATTATAATATGGATGTAATGTGTAAATGATGCCCATCAGACCTTGATGTGGTTTCTAGGAAGATAGTCTAAAAAGAAAGCAAGGTTCGAAAGGTCTACAATGATCATTGTAAATATGAGGAGGGTGTTTGGAGCGACCGGCAAGAAAGGAAGAAATATCCTATAACTTGGGCTGAGTTCCTGGTCCCCGAACCCTGAACATTTTCTCTTCGAAACTGGTACTTTGCACTGTCAGGGTATATTTTCATTCGCATTTCCTGAGAGTGAATGAGAAGAGGGAAGAGATGCCTGCTAAACATGCCGTTAAGTTCAAGATTTACAACTCGCCAAGGCATCTGGAAAGCTGGGCAGCCAGCAATGCCGTTACCAGTGACTCTTCCTGCCAGGAGTCCACCAAGCTAGAGTAGACACTGCTACTGAACCTCTCCTGTAACAGATGCAACTTCCACTTCCCCCATGGCCCCCTGCAAAACCCTTTCTCCTCCTGCACTAAATCTGGAGTCACACCCCAATCACTTCTGATACGATCTCTTTATCTTCTCTTCTCTTCTCTTCTCTTCTCTTCTCTTCTCTTCTCTTCTCTTCTCTTCTCTTCTCTTCTCTTCTCTTCTCTTCTCTTCTCTTCTCTTCTCTTCTCTTCTCTTCTCTCTTCGCTCCTGGGTCTCTCCTGCTCTTAAGCGGGGCTACCATGCAAATTTTCTTCAACTTCCTCCCTGCGAGTCCTACTTTCCTACCCAAGGATCTGATCATCTCTCCCCCACTACACACACCCTCCCCCACCCCGAAAATATAGCATCATCTAATCTGAAATGCACCTCCGGAGAGCCTAAGCTAGGCAGGGAAAGGAGCGGGCAGAGATGGAGTGAGCGAGGCATCGCATGGAGAGTACGTCTCCAGTGCCTGTAAAGAAAACCTAAAAAAGTTCCCGGGATGGACTTTGGGCACATTAAAGTAGTGCTTGGAATATGCCTGCTCAGAGACTTCTCCCCTCTGGAACTAAACTGTAACCCGTCCCTTCTGGCTCACCCTCTCCAACACACACTCACGTCGTGATTTCATACACCCACACCACCACCCCCCCCGCCCCGCTTGAGATAGATAGGCTTTTTTATTGTTGTTTATTTCCCCCTTCCCACGCTTAACAAAAC